TGTGGATTTAAGAAGAAGAAGAAGAAGAAGAAGAAGAAGAAGAAGAAGATGAACCTTTATTAATCCCCCTAGGGGGAAATTCGGTGTATCACTCTGGCTTGTATTTAACACACACACAGTATACATTTATGTCTTTGTTTTGTTTGAGGCAATAAAAGTACAAGTCAAACAATTATCTACTTTGACAAAGTAACCTTCATGTTACTGATAATGTCTCTGGATTTTGACTATCTCTGACCAAACTAGGATAATCTTAGCACAATTTAACATGTTCCATCAATAACTAATATGTATTCAATCATGATTCTGTCAATAAAATGTCAGTTAATTCACATAAGTAAATAAAATATACGTTTTTAAGTTGCCACTTGTATCCACCTAACAATGCAACAGCCATGACATCCACTTTAATATAAATAATCACATAGAGGAAGCTAATTTCTGCAGTTGACTGTAGTTGGTTCCCATAATGCACCTCATTTGCCCTTTATAGTGACTGGATTCTGATTTATGGAACAACTCTGTTGCTTCCTCTCACACCTGCATACCTACCTTTTTATGATACAACATGCAATTTAAGGTAATAAAGGGAAGCAGTCAGACCTGCTTTACACACCCACAGTATGTTAGTGTGCTTCCCAACCCTGCAGCATATCATAAATCCTATGTTGAGATTCTAATCTTCCAGACGAAGAAATGTGAATAAACAGCAGTGGCGGGTGGACGCCTGTCACATTGAAATAGACTGTATGTGGGCTAAGCAAATAAAAGGAGAGATTTATGGGTGCAAACACCATGGGGCAATAAAACCTCGGCCTGGCTTAGAATAATTGCATAACTGGGGATGTCCAGCACTCAGAGAGGCCGATTGATTGGAATATTTCCTGATCAAAAAGTAGATGTTTTTAAAGGGAACACACACACACACACACACATGTAGGCTGACAGACCAACCTGCTCTTTCCGTTTCTGCCAGCGGCCGCACGGGCTCTCCTCCAAGATCTCGCTCTCATCCTCGCTCTCCTCTTCCTTCCCCTCCGAACCTGATTTCCTTTCCGGGACGGACATCGTCATTTTAACGCCGTTTATTTCCAGATAACAAACCCCCGACAGACCCTCTTCTACCTCCTTCCTTCCCTGAGGTTTTGTCGACCAGACGAGTCGAGACGGTCCTCGCGCTGTCTGCGCAGTGAAGACACCCCCCTCCCCTGATGACAACAGCCACTCTCACTCAGCCCCCTTGGCGCTCAAAACATCTTGCAGAGAAAACTGATATTGCCTAAAACAAGCGCTCCTCAGTCTGTGAGGAACAACCCACACCGCCTCCAGATAACAACTAGCAGTGTAGGCTACACATAACACGGTCGCTGGACTGAACGGAGGGTGGGAACGTGTATCCCAGACTTCAGGCGCCCCATGCAAAATAGGTTACGAAATGGTTTTCCGCTTATCTTTCTGTTAACACTGAAGCACCACGGGAGTGGAAGCTCGGTCGGTGGAGCAAAATAATCCCTCCCGACACAACTGCGATCATTCCCTGCCTCGTTTATCGTCTGTTTAATAGAGGAGAGTTTAATTTTCGACTATCTTCCGCACGCGACACTGTCTGTGTTGTCGTATCTGAAGCTGCGGCGCGAGCTCCTGCCAGGAGCGGTGCGCAGAGAGATGGAGCGCATTACCGTAAAGTGTTCAGTATGTGCGCTCAGGATTTTACGTTAAGCCTGTCTGGAAAATGAAGCAAACGTATAAGGACGAGCACTAACTCAGCTACCCAAAATAGGGTATTCAAAAAATATAGTGTGTTATATATTATTTCACAATACATGATTTGACGCATATCCAGGTCCCATATTAGTTTGATTTAATTGTTTGGCATTCATTCTTCTTCTTTCCTGTTTTGTGAATATTTAAGTAGGAGTATACACCCAAACCAACAAAACCTGCTTTTAGACTCACAGCACTCCAATAATTACTAAAAACCAGAACCTAAACCAGAGCCGAGCAGAAGGGCCTGGCTGTTTTATGTGTTAATAGAAGAAAGAAAGGCCCTTTGTGCCTCAATAAGGAGTGCCTGTAGTCTAAGAGGCATGACTTTAATTAAAACAAACATTAATGCTGAGCAGACTAAACTGCACAAATAAAAATAAAAAATTATAAATGCATTGCCCAACATGTATTCAAGCTAATGAACAATGTAGCTTACATAAAGATTACATAGAAATAATTGATTTATAGAAATATACAGCTTTATAAAAACATTGCCATCGACTCCCAGATTCAATGCATCCATTTAAAAAAAAAAAGAAGCTCTGTCTTTTATAGGGGTCAAAAACTATTTTTAGGACCTTAATTAATTTAATCTCCTGAGAAAAAAGTTGTGTTTTATTAATTTGCTACAAACTAGTTTTAACATGGAATACCACAGTAGTATTAATTCAGTCTAGGAGGTAGTTTCTGGGCGTGTATTGAAGCTGTGCTTCATATGTTAGGCGGGCGACATACAAAAGGCACACAAAGCAGGAGATGGTTGAGGAGATCTGCCATGAGGAAAACTATCATTTTAAAAAGTCTACAAAATATGCAACATTTTTAGACAATTAATATTGAAACATTAACTAGAGGAGAACATGAATTGTTTATAGAGATATTTCTGAGAAGTTAAAGACAGAGTTAGATTTGTCCTACACACTGAGGTTTTTGTACTTTACCCATCAGGGCTACATTCAGATAAATAAGACATTGACCACCTAAAGAAAGGAGAAACAAGGAGTAGTCCTAAAGACGAAGAAGAATCCTGATACATTAAGCCCTCAAAGCCAGAAACATGCAGCTTGTCTATGGTATCATTTTGAGCCCCATCCAGAAACAATATGTCACTCTGTATTAAGCAGAGGTTTTTGATTAATGAATAACAAGTGTTCCAGTGTTAACCTTGTTTGCCATCTAGTGGTTGTGCTTTAAAAATAGTACTGGGGAAAAAACAAATTACACAAGTCATTATGTAGGAACCTGTTTGATATGAGAGAACACTGTGGAACCAGGGTGGGTATCCTGTGCCCATACTGTGTAAAACATCTGATCATCTGATTTAAAATAAAATCAGCTATGGGATGAAAACAAGACATTCTAACATTAGGTCTCAATGAGGAGCAAGTTTTTTTGAATTATTGTGTTAATGTTTACTAGATATTTGGGTCAACCTTGCAAATGCAAATATAGCAGGCTTTTTTTAAGTCCAGTAAAAATGTGCCTATTCAGCCATTACTTTCTCTTAAGGGATGTGGTAATAATCGTCACTTTTAGGCTATTTCATTGTTTTAATTCACTCTCTCCAGGTGCATTAAACTACTGTACCACATTTACTATCTTTTATTAAATGTATTTTTGTATAGAGTTTGCTGTCATTCTTTTAGAAGTCTGACAAAATGTACTGTGGACATAAAATAAAACATTTTTGAATACCCCTGACCTATAGCATCTATAATGTTAAAACAACGAGGACCATGTTAACTGTGCTGTGCTGTTGACAAAGGGGTGACCTCATGGGGGCCCCAAAGGTCAAAAATGCAGTTTGGCACTTTTTCTACCTCACATCCCCTGACTTGACCGTGAAAAAACAGTTTGGATGTAATCACAGTTTTATATAATAATCACTTTCTTCCTCTATTTTTAGCGCACGGTGCTCACAAAGGGCCTGAGTGCCAATTCCTCTCACTATTAATGAGATTTACTCTTGGCACAAGGAGCCTCTGCTTTCCTCTGAAAGACAAAGGCGCTGTCTAGACGATATATATCTAGGACACAAAACAGAGAGACAGTCTCCCAGAAATGGAGGGGAAGAACCCAATGTGAACCCAATGTGAGCCCCAAACTAACATTTACTGTAGATGATGTATTCTGCTTGATACAGATAATAATTACACTGAAGTTGGCATTTAATTTGGACATTTTAAACACATTTTGATGATTACAGATTCTACAAGGACTTTTTGTGAAGCCCTGAGGGATGAGGAGACAGCTGCAGGATAACAGGGACACCTTGTGGATTCTTGTTGAAGTTGCAATCATTCCTGTAATTTCAAAAAACTCAAGTCCCTCATGCCACCACTCATAGAAAACCAATCATTAATAGTTTTTCATACACCTCAATTCTTAAACAAATATGCAGAGTCATATATTCTCAGGTTGCTCAATGGGTTACAGTTTCAGAGAGCCCAGGGACTTTCAAATTCATGCAAACCCATAGACTGAATATATAAAAGACTGTATATATAAGGGGCAAACCACTTGCATTCACTGCTCTATACAACAAAAGTAATTTATTAATCTCAACATGGAGGAACATAAAAATATGTTTGTATTCATTGTAATCTACATATGTTGTATACCGCCTGCCTCACATGCTCATGTCAAAGTATAGGTGTCTTACATATCTATACTGGCAGGACACAAACATGCTAAAAGCAACACTTAAATAGACTTTATCCATTATATAATCGTCATAAAGGTAACAGCCTTTTGAAAGTGGAAGGTAAAGAGTTTGTGGAGCAGTCTATCGAGGTGCATTCACCCTTATAATTTAGAAGAAAAAATAGACTGAGTGATTTTACAATTTTTAGAAGATAACAAGACAAGAGACAATTAATACATGATACAGTTTCAGAGATGATACAAATCAAGTCTTGTATTTTTACCTACATTTTGCTAACCCATTGAGTGTTTTTAGTTCCACAAAAATGGAACCAATTTATATTGATCTAAACTGCGCATTTGTGATGTTGTGTAGCATCTAAATATAACACTCAAAAATAAAACAGACAATACATTTGTAGAGTTTGAAGAAATGTTTAAATAAATAAATATAATGCACATAAAATTATAGGGGGATGATATATCTTATGACAGAAGTCATGGAAGAATGACGCATTTTCACCTCTTCAGAGTGAGTCTACTCATCATCTCAAATAGGCAAAGCTTCTATAATCAGTTTAGATAAGTGTTTAACGTGTTGATGTGTTTGTGTGCCACATGGCTTTGCCGCCCTCGTCGTACATGACCAGGTTGCAGTCATCCTGCATGATCAGGCGGAAAGGGGATGACCCTGCAGTGTCTGAAGCCCACACAGGACCATAGACCACAACGTTTCCATCATCCTGCAGGCAGAAACAGAGACGATTGTTAACGGTTTGCTCTAAAGACCATTGCATTTGTAGCATGCACCCTGATAAGAGTCTCATGTGCACAAATATTCTGAGTCACTCACCTGGAAGATAGCCTTAAACTCTCCGTTGCCGGACACCAGACGGTCTCCCTTGCGGAGCTCATCATTTTTGGACAAGAAGTTTCTGCTCAGTGTTATATCCCTTTAAAACACTGAAAATGCTTGAACACAAATTTTGTGAGTTGGTTTGCCTATTATATTTGTATTACCACCAGTGATTTGTATTCACTGAAGAGTAGTTATTTTTCCCCTTGTCTATATAAATAATTTCAGCAGAACAATTTAACCAATAAAGAACTCCATTATGCATCAAACTATTCTTGCACAGTAATATTATGAACCAATCTATTATAATAAAAGTATAGAATACTCACAGAGTTGTGTTGTTTTCTCTTCAGTCAGACTGCAAGCAGAGGAAAAGGAGTGAAGTGGCAGAGACTGAAATTCACCCAATATTTATACATCTATTCTGGAGGGGGGGGAGAGAAGGTGGGCTAGAGAGGGAGTGCTAGGCCTTTCCTTTTCTCATGATACCTGAATGAGCTTGAAATATTTTTGAGTTTTATGACCAAAAACAAGTTTTGTGAAGGGTTATTGATGGCTGTGAGAAGACTATACTATTCTGTAAAAGTAGTAGAGTCATTTTCAACATGCAAATATAAGGTGAGCTTGACATGCCATAATTACAAGATACCTCAAAAAGCTCTTAACTCAGCCTAAAGAATTATAGCATTGTCGTATCTCACTTTTACCTGAGCAGGTTACTAGCTATGTGACATTATTTTTTAAATGTGCCTTGGGTTTATTAAAAAAAATGAGTGCACTCTTAGTGATAAGCAGCGCAAACCACAATTTCTGTAGGCTAACCTTAATTGTTAATACCAGTCTAATTATAAATTGGCCACTATGTTCATTTGGAAGGAATGTTATCCAAATGACATAATACAAACATTTGGGAATACAAGCATACAATGAGAATATTGAGTTTTCAAAGTGTGAACCTTCAAAAACTCCCAACTAAAACCCCAATCATAGCACGTACAAGGCTAGACACTCAAACACTGTAAAAAGAGGGAGGCAGGGATAGATAACGAACTACTGCCGATCTGTATCTGAATAAAACCGTTATTTAATACTTCCAATAAACTGGAATAATTTACATCTTACAATATACAAAGACTTTTCAAATATCCAAACCTTTTTCATGACTGCAAGTGCCTTTTGAATTAACTTTTTTGCAATCTTGCTAGACAAAAGTGAAAAGCAAATAACTAGCTATCAATGATGAATACATGAACAAGAAAGTGCCCCAGGAATTGTACCAATCTGTGGTTATCAGTGGAGTCATTCTCAACATGCAACAAATACCGATTAATTTAAGATGAAATATACTTTGTTAATCCCAAATTGATCTGACAAATAAAACACTACTGAAGGGAGAGACAAAGCATGACCTTGATATAAAGCTCATCATTATTATGGGCAGGAAGTTTGTAGCGTGACAGAAAAAATACCTTACAGTCAGTTTACCAAAAACACTGCACCGTCGATAGTTACGCCACTGCCCCCAGACCCCCCTGCAGGGGTTGAGTTTTCAGCATGTCTACTCTTTCACCTGTGGGGAAATTGCAGGATTGGCTCCAGGTCGCCCTTTTTATTTACTACAAGAGAAATGTGCCTTTTTATTTCATACAGTTCCATTTTGATTGAGACAGGGAAATAATCTAAACCTCACGCATGGCGTTTCACTGTCAAGGGGGGCGATATAGCGTGTAAGTAATTACATTAATACTGACTTGAGCACCACCACTGTATGGGTTAGCCCTACCATAGATTACCCAACTAATGCTTGATGTGGTTTGGAACATAATATGGCGTTTAATCACGGCAGGGTTTAGCTGAGTTTCTGCCGGTAAACATCCTTCTCTTAGCAGAGGTCACCACTATATAGCAGGATACTGTATCTAAGAGAGGGACTTAGAGTAAAGTTGCTATAATACATACAATAGCAATGTTCTAGCGGTAAACACTGAATAAAGAACATGTCAAGCTGTACTGTATCAGAAACAATGCGCGACGTGTTAGAACTGCTCAGTCAAATGAATTGTGAGGGAAATAACTCTGGATTAGGCTTTTAGCACATTTTACAACTTTTAGACCCAAATGATTTAAATAAGGGCTATACAAGCGTTCATATACTGGGTTTTTTTTTGTTGCTTAAAATATTTTAATTATAATAATTATAAACTGATTTACAAATATTGTTTCCCATTATAAGTCAATAGGGAAAAGTATTTTTGAGCACATCGACATAGAACGGAAGTGCAATACAATCGTTCCGCCGCTACAACAATTGGCTTCAACGGCGGACTTTCTTCCATGGGGCCTTCTTGTGGCCAGAGCACTTCTTGGAGCCTTGTAAGTAAGTCGCACAACACGCTAAGCAACAGTCGTTTCTTTGGGTCTCGCACACAGCGCCAGCTCTGACCAATTTGCTGCCATATGCAACATTTTTGCTTGCGCCCCCCTAATCCTCTCACTCTCCCACTGAAGCATCAGTAAAGACAAGTTTTAGCTTTAAACAAGTTTTAAAGTTGATCTTATCTTATTTTACCTAGTTTACATGTTTTTAGTTATGCATATTTTACTAATCCCTCCCGTTTAAAACTACATTTTTAAAAAAAATACATCGTCGCCAAACAGTTTCAGACCCACTGAGATAACTTCTAGTTAACTAAACTATCTTAACACTCAGAGAGTCCTTCACCTCACCTGAGGTTATCTGAGCCTCTCAGCCTCCACCTTGTTCTAGAAACAGCTCCTTATATCCTTTAGCGCAGCTAGCATCAGATGCTAACAACAACAACAACCCCCGTAACCGGAGGCCTGTACTACGAAGCTGGTTCAACTTAACCTGGATATGTTGGAGTTAGCCGGTTGGCCTAAGCCAAAACATACGCGCTGGCGCTAAACTGTACTACGACGCCAGTTATCAAGTGGATCGCTCAAGCCAGCCGTGTCCTATCTAGTTAGGTGCGCGTTCACATGAAAGGGGTGGTATTTGGAGCATTCGACCAATCTCAAACACGGACAAGCGTACTGACAGCGCAGCGTCATACTTCCTGAATGAAAAGTGAACTTTAATATTAGTCAAATATGAAGAAGTTAAACTTTAAACATCCATGTCTTAAACACTTTATCCAGGATAAAAGCCACATAGCTGCACCTGCAAGGTGAATACAGCTGGTAAAAGAAAAAGTGTTTGAATGCGTACATTAACAGGTTTATGAAATCACTGCCCCGTCTAAGACACGAGTGGATCTGACTTTAATTACATTTGACTCGAGTGTTTCGTCAACTTAATGTGTTGCTTAAAATAATACTTCTGCATACAGTATGTGACACTGTGAGTGTTGCACGGCCAGATACGGCTCAAGAAGCTGACTCAAATAAGGAAATATATGATACATTATGATGTGATATGATATGAATGATAATGGCACACATCGACGTCTGCACTCACAGTGCCGCGGACTGTACTAATGTTACTCTGATCCGGTTACTTATGTCGTGGCAGATATTTAAGTAAGCTTTCTTAACGCTAATATTATAATAGTCAGATTGCTCTGAAGATGGGAGGGGATATTCTATTAATTTTCACGTTCACACAGTCAGTTGATTTTTGCCGGCTGTCTTTCCTGCAACGGCAGTTTTTCTGTATTTCCTCTATCCTGTAATATGACTTGATCGCTTTAAACTCCGCACACACGGAGCTCTGATTGGTCAGCAGGCGGTGCTTTCACTGAGTTGATCTCTTAGCCTGCCACCTAACCAGGGGGCTATACTACGAATCAAGATTTTCGTTTAGCAAGCTAACTTCAGGGGTTTCCGGTCCTACGAAGCTGGTTCACTTTTTAGCGGGCTAGATAACTTATTCTGAACGGCTATCCTCCGGAGCAGGATAGGTTCCAGGATAAAAGCACTGCCTGCTGACCAATCAGAGCTCAGCGTGCAGAGTTTAAAGCGATCAATTCATATGACAGGAGGAGAAAGGAAATACAGTTTAAACTGCCGTTGCAGGAAAGACGACCGGCCAAAATCACCGACTGTGTGAACGTGAAAATTAATAGAATATCCCCTCCCATCTTCAGAGCAATCTGACTATTATAACATTAGCGTTAAGAAAGCTTACTTAAATATCTGCCACAACATAAGTAACCTACAGTCCGCGGCACTGTGAGTGCAGACGTACCCCATTATCATTCATATCACATGATATCACATCATAATGTATCATATATTTCCTTATCTGAGTCAGCTTCTTGAGCCGTATCTGGCCGTGCAACACTCACAGTGTCACATACTGTATGCAGAAGTATTATTTTAAGCAACACATTAAGTTGACACTCGAGTCAAATGTAATTAAAGTCAGATCCACTCGTGTCTTGGACGGGGCAGCAGTGATATCATAAAACTGTTAATGAACGTATTCAAACACTTTTTCTTTTACCAGCAGTATTCACCTTGCAGCTGCAACTATGTGGCTTTTATCCTGGATAAAGTGTTTAAGTCATGGATGTTTAAAGTTTAACGTCTTCATATTTGTCTAATATGAGTTGACTTTTCATTCAGGAAATATATGACGCGCTGCGCTGTCAGTACACGGCTTGTCCATGTTTGTGATTGGTCGAATGCTCCAAATACCACCCCTAGTATACCCCCCTGCTCCGGAGCAGGGGGGTATACTACGAATCTAGTTCAACATATCCTGGATATGTTTTGAGTTATCCGGCTGACTAAATCAAAAAAAAAAAAAACGCTCTCGCTAAACTGTCCTACGACGCTGGCTATCACCTCGACCGCAAGCCAGCCGTGTCCTATCTAGTTAGGTGCGCGTTCACATAAAAGGGGTGGTATTTGGAGCATTCGACCAATCACAAACATGGACAAGCCGTGTACTGACAGCGCAGCGCGTCATATATTTCCTGAATGAAAAGTCAACTAATATTAGACAAATATGAAGACGTTAAACTTTAAACATCCATGACTTAAACACTTTATCCAGGATAAAAGCCACATAGTTGCAGCTGCAAGGTGAATAGGCTACTGCTGGTAAAAGAAAAAGTGTTTGAATACGTTCATTAACAGTTTTATGATATCACTGCTGCCCCGTCCAAGACACGAGTGGATCTGACTTTAATTACATTTGACTCGAGTGTTTCGTCAACTTAATGTGTTGCTTAAAATAATACTTCTGCATACAGTATGTGACACTGTGAGTGTTGCACGCCAGATACAGCTCAAGAAGCTGACTCAAATAAGGAAATATATAACGTACCCCATTATCATTCATATCACATGATATCACATCATAATGTATCATATATTTCCTTATCTGAGTCAGCTTCTTGAGCCGTATCTGGCCGTGCAACACTCACAGTGTCACATACTGTATGCAGAAGTATTATTTTAAGCAACACATTAAGTTGACACTCGAGTCAAATGTAATTAAAGTCAGATCCACTCGTGTCTTGGACGGGGCAGCAGTGATATCATAAAACTGTTAATGAACGTATTCAAACACTTTTTCTTTTACCAGCAGTATTCACCTTGCAGCTGCAACTATGTGGCTTTTATCCTGGATAAAGTGTTTAAGTCATGGATGTTTAAAGTTTAACGTCTTCATATTTGTCTAATATTAGTTGACTTTTCATTCAGGAAATATATGACGCGCTGCGCTGTCAGTACACGGCTTGTCCATGTTTGTGATTGGTCGAATGCTCCAAATACCACCCCTAGTATACCCCCCTGCTCCGGAGCAGGGGGGTATACTACGAATCTAGTTCAACATATCCTGGATATGTTTTGAGTTATCCGGCTGACTAAATCAAAAAAAAAAAAAACGCTCTCGCTAAACTGTCCTACGACGCTGGCTATCACCTCGACCGCAAGCCAGCCGTGTCCTATCTAGTTAGGTGCGCGTTCACATAAAAGGGGTGGTATTTGGAGCATTCGACCAATCACAAACATGGACAAGCCGTGTACTGACAGCGCAGCGCGTCATATATTTCCTGAATGAAAAGTCAACTAATATTAGACAAATATGAAGACGTTAAACTTTAAACATCCATGACTTAAACACTTTATCCAGGATAAAAGCCACATAGTTGCAGCTGCAAGGTGAATAGGCTACTGCTGGTAAAAGAAAAAGTGTTTGAATACGTTCATTAACAGTTTTATGATATCACTGCTGCCCCGTCCAAGACACGAGTGGATCTGACTTTAATTACATTTGACTCGAGTGTTTCGTCAACTTAATGTGTTGCTTAAAATAATACTTCTGCATACAGTATGTGACACTGTGAGTGTTGCACGCCAGATACGGCTCAAGAAGCTGACTCAAATAAGGAAATATATAACGTACCCCATTATCATTCATATCACATGATATCACATCATAATGTATCATATATTTCCTTATCTGAGTCAGCTTCTTGAGCCGTATCTGGCCGTGCAACACTCACAGTGTCACATACTGTATGCAGAAGTATTATTTTAAGCAACACATTAAGTTGACACTCGAGTCAAATGTAATTAAAGTCAGATCCACTCGTGTCTTGGACGGGGCAGCAGTGATATCATAAAACTGTTAATGAACGTATTCAAACACTTTTTCTTTTACCAGCAGTATTCACCTTGCAGCTGCAACTATGTGGCTTTTATCCTGGATAAAGTGTTTAAGTCATGGATGTTTAAAGTTTAACGTCTTCATATTTGTCTAATATTAGTTGACTTTTCATTCAGGAAATATATGACGCGCTGCGCTGTCAGTACACGGCTTGTCCATGTTTGTGATTGGTCGAATGCTCCAAATACCACCCCTAGTATACCACCCCTAGTATACCCCCCTGCTCCGGAGCAGGGGGGTATACTACGAATCTAGTTCAACATATCCTGGATATGTTTTGAGTTATCCGGCTGACTAAATCAAAAAAAAAAAAACGCTCTCGCTAAACTGTCCTACGACGCTGGCTATCACCTCGACCGCAAGCCAGCCGTGTCCTATCTAGTTAGGTGCGCGTTCACATAAAAGGGGTGGTATTTGGAGCATTCGACCAATCACAAACATGGACAAGCCGTGTACTGACAGCGCAGCGCGTCATATATTTCCTGAATGAAAAGTCAACTAATATTAGACAAATATGAAGACGTTAAACTTTAAACATCCATGACTTAAACACTTTATCCAGGATAAAAGCCACATAGTTGCAGCTGCAAGGTGAATAGGCTACTGCTGGTAAAAGAAAAAGTGTTTGAATACGTTCATTAACAGTTTTATGATATCACTGCTGCCCCGTCCAAGACACGAGTGGATCTGACTTTAATTACATTTGACTCGAGTGTTTCGTCAACTTAATGTGTTGCTTAAAATAATACTTCTGCATACAGTATGTGACACTGTGAGTGTTGCACGCCAGATACGGCTCAAGAAGCTGACTCAAATAAGGAAATATATAACGTACCCCATTATCATTCATATCACATGATATCACATCATAATGTATCATATATTTCCTTATCTGAGTCAGCTTCTTGAGCCGTATCTGGCCGTGCAACACTCACAGTGTCACACTGTATGCAGAAGTATTATTTTAAGCAACACATTAAGTTGACGAAACACTCGAGTCAAATGTAATTAAAGTCAGATCCACTCGTGTCTTGGACGGGGCAGCAGTGATATCATAAAACTGTTAATGAACGTATTCAAACACTTTTTCTTTTACCAGCAGTAGCCTATGCACCTTGCAGCTGCAACTATGTGGCTTTTATCCTGGATAAAGTGTTTAAGTCATGGATGTTTAAAGTTTAACGTCTTCATATTTGTCTAATATTAGTTGACTTTTCATTCAGGAAATATATGACGCGCTGCGCTGTCAGTACACGGCTTGTCCATGTTTGTGATTGGTCGAATGCTCCAAATACCACCCCTTTTATGTGAACGCGCACCTAACTAGATAGGACACGGCTGGCTTGCGGTCGAGGTGATAGCCAGCGTCGTAGGACAGTTTAGCGAGAGCGTTTTTTTTTTTTTTGATTTAGTCAGCCGGATAACTCAAAACATATCCAGGATATGTTGAACTAGATTCGTAGTATACCCCCCTGGCCTCGGTTCGCGCCCTCTCACTCACTCATACCACACAAACACACAAAGCTGGGGTGGGAGGGGGGGGGGTTAGTATGAGCGCTGTGTGCAAGGTGTAGGCTTAGTTATGTTGTTGTTATCCAATATTTACTATTAGTAAAAACAATTTTAAAAGTTAAACTTTTAGATGGTTTTTTCTCCCCACCTGCTTGGACCTTTTCATTATCCAAATGTTTTGCCTCTTGTTGGTATCTACACTTTCAGCTCGAGCTGTGAGCTTCGGGCGCCGGATAAGCCACCATCCACCACTTTCATCACTTACAACGTACAGGGCAAATGCTAAATTTAACCGGGGTGAAAAAGGTGTTTCCTTTATTTAATTATTAATGTAAATGTGTTACATCAAGGCAGATTTAGGAATGAGCGCCAACGACCGCCTATGTCGCCGATGCCAAAAACCAGCCCTGCTCCCATGGCTGAATTAAAAGATAATTATTTATAAATGAAAAACATATTTAGCTTTATGTATTTAGCTCAGATAGTTCTTATGTGGTTGTTGTTTGATTTTTAAAACAGTGTTATTACAGGCTGCAATGTGAGGTCACTGGACATAACCTGCATGTTTATTTTTGTTAAGTGAACATCGTCTTTCATTTAATATGTGATATTAAATGCAAACACATTTCCTTTAGTAGTGTTTTTAGATAGAGAGATAGATAGAAGGAGCCCAAATGCGCAAAAATAATTGCACATCCGCAATATTTTTGTTATTAATTCAATACAATTATGCCTGGAATCTTACCGGACCCATTTCTACTTTTGGGGAAATTAAGGGGAACATAATATACTATAGACATTTAGACTAAATAGACCACCTAAACCACACTGTAACACTGTAGCGTATATCATGTCACATTGGGCTTTAATGGTAAAATACTGCCCTTTCCATGTGTCGACTTTAAAATAAAGTTATAAATAAAGCCTTGGTAATTTTTTGTTTGTTGATTTGCTAGTGAAAATAAATCAGTCAACGAGGTTATTTGAGGCCAAACATGATGCTTTTATTCTGAAGGAGGTACCGTATCCCGGAAGTGTAAGTGATAACACACACAACCGCTGGCGGAATGGTGATAGTTGTGACTGCTAAAGCAGGTTTCACCTTTAGAATAATGATTTTGTCATTGTTTTTCATGTGTTTTCCGTGTCTACCGTTTTATTCTTCAGCCAAGATAAATGACAGACCCATTATTGGTAAGTTTACATACATTTTATCAACTGTGACATTAAGTTAAGCGAACATTACGTGAGCCACATTTTGATATTTTGACGTTACTTTCGAAAGACCGTTGGAGTTGATTTTAAAATGGTCGTGTACCTAAACTGCTGTTTTTCCTCTCAAAAGGTGTCCTGGCTCAAGAAGTTTATTCTCAAAAACCAAATCAAACTGCTTACATTGCTGCCTCTTATGTTAAGTTCCTGGAGTCCGCAGGAGCAAGGGTTGTACCTGTCATGTGAGTTATATTACTCATTTCATCACTTATTTTTTCATTGCGGAAAAGCTTTGCAACATCCTGTTTATACAGCATTGTGAACTGAAACCCTTTCATTTTCTTGTCTAAAGGATTAACCAGCCAATGGAGGAGTATAAGAAGCTGTTTAACTCCATTAATGGGTAATTGTATATGTTGTAGTGATCACTAGGCACTACAATGTATTATAAATGATTAACAGATTTATAAGTCAACACCTGTATGCAGTGGCGAGCCGTGACTTTTATACCTAGGCCCTCTGACACTCTGACACATGGCCCTATATATTTAAATTAGGATAAGATACAGACTTCCAATAAACTATCACTTTTTAACCAACATTAACCAGATTCTAGCCTTGCTGTTATGTTCATTCAATAAAAAAATGAACTTCATGTTTAGAACGATTAGCTCTACCTAGGTTACACGCTTAAACCATGCTCACATGCATCACAATGATATGTTTATGACTGATGCATGTTCAGAATCTACTGTACATCTTTACAATAGCAGATACATAGCATTATGTTAAATACAACTTTCAAACTAAAACATTTAAACAAAAATATATGGTACATTTTATATATATACATATAGTCATATGAAAAAGTATATAACATTTAATTGCAAATTAGATTTATAGTATACCTGAATATTAGGTGCAATTATATGATGTGGAAAGCGGTAAACTCACAAAGCAAATGACACACATTTACGTCAAAATATTTTGTGTCATTGAGAGTGTTGTGTCTCTGTTACCAGGATCCTTTACCCAGGCGGAGGTGTCAGCATTATTTCATCCGGTTATGAAAGAGCTGCAAAAATCTTTTATGAACTTGCTATTGAGGTAAAGAGTTAAAACACTAGTTACTATGTTTAAATATATCGATGCTGGATTATGATGCAAACTGTGTGTGATTTTTCAGGCAAACAGCCAAGGCGACTACTTTCCCGTGTGGGGCACCTGTCTTGGATTTGAGCAACTGATGTATTTGACAAGTGAAAAAACAATACTGTCGCAAACAAATACAAGCGGTGTGGCATTGCCTCTGAACTTCACTAATGGTATGGCTTTGTCTTGATGTAACATTGATTACTCAATGAGAGAAGTACGTACATGTAACCATAAGATAGACCTAATCCTTATAATAATAATAAATATAAACATAATATCCATAATTGTAACTCCTTAATGAGTTATCGGAACATAACAGTTAGATTGGCAATGTTCTGAAGTAGTTAAAGAGAATTGTTTGCTTTGTGTAGTGTTAATATTCAGTTATTTTGTGGTTTAGCAATATAATATTAACATATATTTGCTATTGCTATTTACTATCAATTACAGTATGTTAATACATTTTCATGCCAAAGTTGTAGCAGAGGTATCATTGTTTACAGGAAAACAATGGAGCTTCTTTACATTAACGCTTTAAATATCTTATGAAATGTGTTTTGTATTAGTAATAATCATAATATTATGATCCATTTTCAGAAATCAAAGACAGTAGGATGTTTAAAGACTTCCCAGCTGAACTCATTGAAGATCTGGCCACTGAGGCTCTGACAGAAAACTCTCACAAGTGGAGTTTGGCAGTGTTGGTATGGTTTCCCCCCATTTATTCTCATAACATAGAAAGCACGGAAATAAAATGCTGGCTGTTGTTTACTTGAGTGCATTGTAAGTAACCTTGTTTTTTTTTCCAGACTCATAACTCAACTGAGGAGCTGAAAATGTTTTACAAAGTTCTCTCCACAAATACAGATGGAAAAGTGGAGTTTGTATCAACTGTAGAAGGTAGTTGCAGATTCACTTTAATGATTTACAGCAAATAACCCCAGGGTGACATTTTTAATAAGTACTTTTTCTTCCCATTCAACTTGGCAGCATATGATTACCCAATTTATGGGACACAGTGGCATCCAGAGAAAAATGCATTTGAATGGACAAGGCCTTATATTCCACACTCTCCATCAGCAATCAAGACTACCTTCTACCTGGCACAATTCTTTGTCAGTGAAGGTATGAGCATATTATCTTTCTGGTTCCTTAATGACATAGTCAGTAGCTGCATTATGTTAATCTTGTTTTCTCTCCTTATAGCCAGGAAGAACTTTCACAAATTTGAATCTGAGGACGAAGAGAGCAACGCGTTGATATACAACTACAATCCTGTTTTCACTGGGCCCAAAAGTGGCTTCGAGCAAATCTATTTTTTCTGATTTTTTACTCTCGATATATAACATTGCAATATATTTATGCTAATGGAGGGTAGGATCATGCTTTGTGGATGCTGTAGCTGGTTTTACAGATGAGTAATTAAATGACAGATATTACAAAAAGGGGCCTTTTATATAATCTTTTAATAACTTTATGACGTTTACTTTCAATTTTTTGGTAAGATGTACTATTATCTCCAAATTATGTTGTAATTTACTCCTTTTACGCTACAGCACCAGTCTGACAGAAAGACAGCTACCTACCTAATAGCAATAATTAAACTGAGCTGAAAAGAGAGTAAATGCTGGACTCACATTTGACGGATCACTGGAAACATGCCTTCAAATGAATGTTGATTTTGCTGTCTGTCTGCTACACCTGTAAATAGGAAATTGTTGGAAACATTTGAATAACTTTATACATTGATACTGTATATGTAAATGTTGTGTTCTTCGTTCGTTCAAAAAAATCACCACCGCTTTAAAATTCACAATAAAACGGACGAGCCAAAAACATTTAAGGCTGATAAAATATCTATTTTTTTATTCTAACATTTACCTTCATGCCACAATCTCCTATGCTTTGGATAACAAAGTTGAGCTTCTAGAAAATGTCCTCAACAACTGGCGAGAAAGGTCCCAGCAACAAGAGAACAGAAATGAATAGTCAAATGTAACTTCCTTTATGCACAATAACACTCAGGTAATATTGTTTCTTATCTCTTTTTAGAATAAAATTATATTTGAATAACATTTACACATCAAGCTGACGAGACTGGGATCTCAATCACAATACCACTGGAAATGTAATTTATGAAATCCAGTGAGGAACCTTCAAGATATCAAAATTACCATCTGGAACAGAGCTATCATGGATAGGGCCGCAAATAAAATCTTTACATGCACTGGAACGTAACACAAATGGAATTCAAATTAAAAAAAATATATATATATTGTACTTCAGAATGTATCAGTTCGTGAGCCCTGTTTTCTGCATTAGACCATTTTACCCCAATATATAATTATAAAATTGCTCAGGCTTGCCTTCAACCTTGAAATATGTATCCACTCATGTAAACCAAGGGTAAATGAGAAAGCACTTTCAATAAAAACACAGCTGTTTCTGTACTGGTTAATACATTTCCTTCATAAACCATTCCCAAACATCTTATAAGCAATGATGCATGCAGATTCTGTACATTTTGGTGTGATACCATTGGGAATATTTCTAGAGAATATTTTGTATGTGAAACTTTAAAATTCCTTCAGTATGTCAATCACAAATTACGCCTAGCTAACATTAAGAAGTATCAATTTCATTCATATGTATTTAATATAACAGCTGCTATTTTGGGAATAATACATATTCACTTTCTTCATGAGAGTTAGATGAAAAGATAAATACCACTTTTATTTATCTCCCATAAAATGACAACTTGTAGTTTTTATACTTTTGGTTAAGTGAACAACTGAAAAGAGTGTCAGAGGAGCTATTTTTCTATTTTTTCACAAAGCTAGTCTATCTGTTTTCACTTGCTATTAGTCGTTACGCTTCATGATTGAATAAGAGTGGGCACATTTTCTCTTCCAACTCTCGAGAAGAAGTTAATAGGTTTACTTCCCAAAAACACACCATTCCTAAAAAAATTACCTATATTTCATAAATGAAGTCCCACTGTTGAATGTTTTCTGACAAAGTAAGGCACAGTGACTTAAACAAGTTGATGCTTCTGTTTTTGAAAAAAAAACATTTGATAAAACTGCAAAACAGTATTAAACATAGCCAGCATCACTGAAAAACATAAAATAGAGGGTACGAGATGAAAAACAGGGCAAACATGAATACCAAATGAAATATATCTCTAATATCCGAGTGAATGTTTGTGTGCTATTTTACAAACGGTAATAACAATAGACACATCCACAGTCCAACATGAAAGTTCTTGACAACTTTAAAAATAGTAACATTTCCTGTATCGCGACAATTCCAGACACTCTGAACACTGTTAACCAGTGTTCTTCACCTGGCGTCTGATTTTTAATAATATACAAGCCCACAAGTTATGTGCTATAAGGTGTCCCTTGTCCTCACAGCTTGAAAGTCTGTGTGAAAGCTGATGCTCCGTCTTCTTTGCTTTTAAGGAGCTACAGTAGTCCAACCTGCTGTAAAGTTGAATCAATCAGTACATTTTATTTTGTTGTTGGCTCTCTCAAGGGCCATTTGGATTTCAGGGCAGAAGATGAAAGGATGGATGTGGGACTATATCCGTCATCTGCTGTAGGGGCAGTCTCAGGTTCAGATTGCGGACACAGGGTGTCCAAATACTAATCAATTAGGTGAGAAGAACAGACAAGAGTTGCATATTGTGGACAATTGTATTCCAGTGTTGTGCTTGGGCACAGGGACAGGATGGAGGTAAGGTAGCATGGATAGTAAGGATTGGGGGCACATGAGCCTCAGGCAAAGCTAACCCTCATCTTCGCTCTCCTCTTCCAGGGCCTCCTCGAACACTCGTTCTGGTAGCCTGAAGCATTCCTCGAAGAAGTTCACCAGGGACTGGCTGAGGTGCTGCTGTGTTGCCTCACTGTGAATAAAGTGGCCTTCATCAGGGTAGATCTGAGATACAAAGAAAAGGTGAGTGAGACACTGCTTTTTACATAATTGTCTGTCACAGACATATCAGTGACTACAAGAACAGCTATTGCACATAACTATATTTTATATGGTTAGATATATTTCATATTTGTATCCAAGAAAAGCAGTGGCGAACCGTCAGGGCCTTCAAGGTATTCAGAGAATACCCTGGAACACTCAGATAAAACAAACACAAAATCGATTTAATTATATAAATAAAATGTAATAAAATGTATATAAAATGAATACATGAGAATCGTATCTATGTTGTTGATCTGTAATATTACAGTGTTATGTTGATTTGTTTGTCCTTCTCCAGGGTACTCTAGATTCTAGAAGGCCCGGTCGTTAACTGGCTCGAGACAGAGGTTAGATGAATGCGACGAAGCAATTCATGCCGTTTTGTTGTTTTTAACGTTGAAATGGCAAGTGCAACAGGTGAAGATGAAGTTGTTGCGGAATTGTTGTACCCTTTTCTATGAGGTGTGATTTGTGCCAAAGAACAGATAACTAAGCTCACTAATACCCCTTTCACACCAAGGCTTTTCCCCTTCTAGCTCCGTGCTAGAGCTTTTCTGGTTCAGAACCGGTTCTTCGGTTTAGCGCCGGCTCTTTTCACACCGCTCAGAGCCCGACTGGTGCTGCCGCTGCTGCGTCATGACGTCACAGTTTACGTCGCTGAGTTTCTCCCCAACGGAGCTCACCTCACAACAACAACGGGCCGGGGACTGCGTCGGGTCGATGATCGTGTTGCTTTTAATCATACGAAGCCCGATTAAATTAAATAACGACTTCTCCAACCTTATACTTTTCTCCAGAGTGCCGTGGTTCATTGTTTATTAATGTGTTTCAGCGGCATTTACCGACCGCTGCAGTGCTGACTGCTCTTCAACGGGAGTGTATTCTCCCGTTAGCTCCGGGTTAGCTCACACGGCTCTAAAGTATTCACTGTCTGACTGTCACACAAGCAGCTGATACATATCCCCAGTTCCCCTTAAGCGTCTGAATTGACGCTGTTTGGTGTCAGTCTGAATTGACGCTGTTTGGCATCACAACGCTGTTATGAAAGTTTCTCTGGTATAACATGGGTGATGTTAGCATAGCAACCGAAGCTAAACTGACTACTTGCTAAGCCGTTTTCTACAGGCACTTTTTACCGGCGTATTTTTCATTATGATTCAACTTGTGATAGTCGGACATGACAACCTGTGCAGCCCATGTATTGATTCCATCCGATAGCTGCTATAATAACAAACAAAACGTCTGCCTGCTCTCCACAATGATCAATAACAGCGAACGGATGGTCAAAGTAAGGTACAAATAAACAGAATCACACGAAGCCTGGTTAGTGTTGCCTGACTTTATAAAGCGTGTTTTTTTTTTACAAGTGTGTGGTTGCGTTCTAGTCACTTTGCTCAGCACTACTGCTGGTTACAACTTTTATTTGCCGTACTCGCCTTAACTGTTAGCTCAGGTTAATCTCGCCCCCCTCCGACGTAAGCGTGACGTATGCGGTTCTTGCTTCTAGACGGACAACTTTTTGGTGCTCGAAACGAACCGGATTCCGGAGCTTAGAGGCTGCTCCGCTGCGGTGTGAACAGGAAAACCCGGTGCTTTTCAAGCTCCAGCTCCGAACCGGCCCTGAAACACCGTTGGTGTGAATGGGGTATGAGCGGAGAACTGACGTGTCAACGTGCGCCAACGCCTCCATCAATTTTGAATGGGTTGACGTACAATACAGGCGACGTCACGACGTTGTCAGACGTCAGACGTAACGGCGACGTATCATTGGTGCGCTCAAAGTACCCGCTCACGTGGCGGCGGCGTAGCTTTGAAAGTGCTATCTTAGATATGCGTGTTGATAACGTACGTGTGGATATGCGCGTGAATAACGTACGTGTGGATAAGCGCGTGAATAACGTACGTGTCGCCTCCGTTAGTATTGTATAGCATTATCCTATATTATATTTTTCGAATGATTCCGCTCCTAGTTTGGAGAGTGTTACAGGTAGCCTACACTTTCTCATCGGCACAGTATTGGTATCAGAAGAGAGGGGAATAATAATTAATAATCATTAGTATGAGAATATTTGCTGGTGTTGTTCTCGAGACCGGTCTCCAGACCACTTTTTAACGGTATTGGTCTCGGAATCGACTGCATTTGGTTTCGTATTGTCTCTGTATCGGACCTATAGGACTCGAGATTGTATGTCAAGACCGGTTAAGACCACGGCTGTGGCTGGGGATGTGTTGAGGGTCGGGAACCGAAATCCGGTTCCGATTTGGAACATTCACTGTCCCTCAGGTTGTAGCATGTTTCGATTGCCAGTTTGTGGCTTGTATGTCTTGTGAACGCAACGCTGGCATGATGTGATGTGGCCTGCTGACATGGCCTCTAATAAACACACAGGACTAAAATAATACGTGTTTAATTCAGCCCAGATGCGGTGACTGCAGGCCAAATCAATGAATGCGGCATATATTGAAGGTGTTCAAAGTTGCACCGGTATGAAGCGCAGTGAGAACCACGCACCTGTCAGACCAGACCTTTATATATACAGTCTATGTGTCAGGAGAATAATGAAGATGTGATTGGTTGTTCCACTCTCCGTTTCTCACGAGACCAGCGCGCTGCTGTTTACATTAGTGTGGACTGGACCGACTGAAACTGACGGCAAGGTTAATTATTGTGGAAGGATGGACCCCTATCCTGCAAAAAAAGGCAGCGAAATGTGCTAAAATTCAGAACCCCCTATGGTATAGAATGACGAAGCAGAAAGTAAGTGAGCGAACATTATGAGCCACATTTCTTTCTATATAATTGTAGCCTGATGTGCACATCGACTGTCAACAAAACAGTTTCTCAGTCCAATGCTAAGTTAGTGGCAGGCCCTGTGTGACTGGAGACTATAAGGCTACACAAAACCCAAACATGTCCTTAATGTTACTCAAGGCAAATATATGTAATATAACCGTTAGACTGCAGCTAACTGTGGGGCTACAAACCCCTCATACTGTGAGGGAATCACTTGAGATGGTTATGTTGTCTAAAGGGGAGACAATCATTATGGTATTAGGCCATGCAAATACAGGGTCAACTAAGTGATAAAATAAGTGTTGCATAATGTATGTTCTTGAATAATGTTATTTCATAAATAGTTGTTAATGTAATGATTACATATTCTCCTTATTCAGTTCCACTATCAGATGATGCTGATGGTGATGGCCCTGAGGGAGAGATGCAGAGCTCAGTGGACAGAACTGGCAGGAACAGAGGAAACTGTTTCAATAGGCTATGACTATGAAAACACTGAACAAAACAAAGGAAATGTAATGACAACAGTATAAGCAAGCTATGTTCATGTTCTCTCAATAAGTTACTATAGTTATTGATCAGAGTTTAATCCATTTGAGGTCCACCCCCAAATAAAACATGTTCACATTGAAAGGTTCCCAAATACATATGCACACCTTTTTTTTAACAATATCCTATGTCCATATGTTTCTATTTAAGTAGTAGATTCAAACTGTAGGGCTATCACTAAGGGCAGCAACGTCGTAAATATTGACGATACATGTACATCCAGCAAAACGCCCCCAAACAAAACTGGTAGTGGCCTGGCTGGGTGTATAATTCCCGGCCTGACCTATGGTCCCAGTCCAGCCCTGCTGACACATCACACACCCGTACACTACACACATTACTGATTAACTGATATCACAATTGAGTTACTCTCTTTAAATAAATATACTGTAATTGGAAAATAATCATGTGTGGTGTACTTGTTTAGTCCGTCCTTGAGCCAGGGCTCCCTATTGTTGTATGTAGGTTATTCTTGGTTTTAGAATTAATTCAGTAATGGTGTGTGTGTAACACAAACATAATAAATCATTGGATAGTGTTTCTATATAATAGAAATAAAGTAATGTATTAAGACTCAGTGCGAGTTATTACTTTCTTCCTTTACTTGGCATTCTTCAAAAATATACAGACATTGCAGCACATCGTTTCATGTCTTTGTACTTTCTCAGCATTAGAGTGCAATGTGTTGGCGAACCTTTGTTTCCTCCTGACAGCTCACTTAAAGGTATATTCAATTCAATTCAATAGCTTTATTAGCATGACCTCAGTTACATATAGTATTGCCAAAGCTCTGTATAGTTGCAACATCTATACAAAATATATATATATACAATATATATATATACTCCCCCTTGTGGCCAAAGGGGGACACAACTCTTGTCTTCAGAAGTATGCTTGAGTGCAGCAAAATGTAGCACAGTGACTATTTTGTCAACTCAACATCATAAAACAATACATATTTTAGTAAACGGGACATTATAATCTCCACACATTAACTCTATATTTGCCTCTGCCATGGTGCTGAAATGAAATAAAATAAACAATATATAGGGGTTGCCTCTTCTCTGAACTTCTCATTCCAGAATTGGAGGACATTTCATGTCCCCCATATAAAAAATCTAATAATCCATGCCCAAAAAGCTAAGACATGCACTTGTTGTGTTAAATATACTTGTATTGAGAGAAGATGAATATAAAGTTGTAGAAAAAGTGGTTTCAAAATATTATTTAAAATATCAAATAGCTCTCGAACACCCCCTAAAATTGCCCTTTTCTCTTGTCCCAGCTTCTTGGTGACCAACTTGCATGTCAAATATAACATTTAAAATAGGGTTTTTATTTACTTTTTTGGTATTATTCTATTGATATATGTGTCTTGTAATGGTAAAATCAATTTGTTAAATCATAAACACATTTTAAATAACAGTAATTTTGCACAGAAGGTGTGTCCCTCAACATGCGCGCAACCCTGTTACCGAAACCTTTTTAGCTTGGCAGAGGAAGTGAAAAAACTGTTTGTCGCATGACACAGTGGAAAGGACATGTGCTACTACCATGGGTAGACCAAAACTAAGTCCTCTCTTTTATTTGTAATATATTTCCAATCTTGTCACTCTTGAAGGAGTGTGGCACTCATACAAACGCAACCCCGTTACTCAAATGATGAGACTAAAACAAATTAATTAATTAAATTTCTTTAGTTAAATATCTAAGTGTGTCCATTCCTTGACAATAGCATTACATTGTGCAGCTAGCATTAATTCCTGAGGTAAAAGCTAAAATTAGCATTGATTTTCAACCCTGTTACTATAATTAGAGTAACAGGGTTAATTCTTCATTGGAAAATATACATTTGATGCCTTAGCTGGGCAAATCACTTTTTTTTATGGTTTATTATCTGTTTTTCCTAAATACATAACAAAAAATAATAAAATGAAAGGTTCATTTTTCAAAAATGTTGGTGCCTAAATTGTCCTCCAATTCTGGAATGACCCGTATACTGCATCCCTCCAAATCAAATAAACAAATACATAAAGTCGTGTTCACTGCAGCGATCTATTTCACACACAAAACTATATGAAAACTTGGTGATATACAGTTTTCTCCTGGAGACCAAGGGAAGACAGGCTTCTCCTGTTTTTTCAGCCTTTGTTATCATTTTGATAATTAAAAATATATATTCTTGTCTGTGGTTGTTTTTTGCATTCAGGGCATACAAGAGGTGTAACATTATTTTAATACCAAAACTATATTGAAATAGATTCTAGCTTGAACAGCAACGTAGCTGTAACATTACTGGGTTATTTGGTGATAACTAAGTAAAGTAACTTCAGACGCAGACGTCACGTAGCTTCTCAGACGAGAGGGGTGGCGACGAGAGTGTCACGTTACTTCTCTCACGGCATAGTTCACGGCATGGTAGGCGACGACCGACACGATTGTCTGCTCAGTGAGTTCGCTCTTTGGCACAAATCACACCTCATACTTTTCAAGACGACAATTCAGTGAAAAGACGGACATTATAACGCCAGGGGGGGGCGGCGGCGGCGGCGGCGGGGGGTGTGTGTGTCTACAGAAGGTCCAGTTGTGATAGACACGGTTCGCCACTGAAGAAAAGTTTGTGATGTATATAAAACAATATTGACGGGACAATTGAGGGTCCTCCACGGACACTTTGATTCAAATACGTTTGCAGATTAACTGGAGAAATGTTAAACTGTGAAACTGATGGCAGACAGATGGAAGGAGAGAGAAACAGTGAGAAATAGTGAACAAAAAAGGGAAATATTACCTCCTACATACATTATAGTATGAATAGATATAAAGGGCTCATTTGAAAAAAAAGATAATAAGCCATTAACCCCACAAATACATGTCTGTATCTAATACAGGCTATAATAATATAAGCAATATAATGAAGATTATTCTCACAACTAACAAAAGTGTACAGTATTACAAAATCACTTTAAAATCGAAGACTGTATAGGTTTAAATATATATATGTACAGTATATGTTTTAAACTGATTCCGTTTTCAATAGGTCATGCAGATACTAGTGAATGGTTTCACATATTGTATAATTCTGTGTTTTATTGCTCAAGACTTTGCAATCAGGTTCTTTAAAAGGTCCAATATAAATTAAGTAGGGCTGTCAGTCGATTAAAATATTTAATCGCGATTAATCGCATGATGCTCGCACATTTTTTATCTGTTCTAAATGTACCTTAGAGGGATATTTTTCAAGTTTTTAATACTCTTATCAACATATGAGTGGACAAATATGCTTTATATGTTTGTTTATTATCATTTGAACAATGACAAATATTCTCATGAATATTAAACACAACAACCTCTGAACATTACAAATATTCGCCTCAAATCAACCTGGAACCTCTCTCATACAATAATACTGTGTGTGTGTGTGTGTGTGTGTGTGTGTGTGTGTGTGTGTGTGTGTGTGTGTGTGTGTGTGTGTGTGTGTGTGTGTGTGTGTGTGTGTGTGTGTGTGTGTGTGTGTGTGTGTGTGAATGTGGAGACACTGTGATGGATCGTTGGAGCTATGTGCAGCTCAAGGCATATATGCTCGAACGGGAGCTGCCTGGACGCTGCAATCATGTTGCGCGCACTATCCGTGCTGAGTGTGCTGACTTTTCGTACAATGTCCCACTGTCTGGCTACCTGCATAAAGTCAAGTGCTCGGCGCAGTTGTCGGAGAAATGTCGCTCCTCTGTTTCATTGAAACAGCTCCTTATATCCGTTAGCGCAGCTAGCTAGCACCAGATGCTAACAACAACAACAACACGTAAGGTGTGCCTCGCTCGCGCCAGCGGCGCCACACATACACACACACTCCCGGTCCTCCCGATGGCCTGTCCGGGCCTGCCAGTGAGCGTGGAAGTGTGGTCTGCCACAAGCGGCCGGCAGGAGCGGGGCTGTCAGCATCAGCTTGTAGATGGTATTTTAAACTCGATGCGCTCTGAAACTACGGGGCGGCCGAGGACAAAAAATACACATGCGTTAATCGCGTTAAAATAATTAGTGGCGTTAATTTTTTTTGCGTTAACGCGTTAACTTGACAGCCCTAAAATTAAGTTATTTTTGTATTATTATTATGATTCTGCAATTCAATGCATTTGGTTTAAGGGTGACAAATAACGTTATCTGATTCATCTTGTGCGTTTTGCCCACCTGTGTCCAACTCGTCATGATTCCAAGTTCATTAGTGACAGTTTCTCATATATTATGTTCCTTCCTTCCTACGATTGACTTCATGCAGTCAGTGTAAATGAATATTAATAATGGTCGTTTCATTTACTATTTATAGGCGTTTCATTAAGCCTGCAAAAGGTGCACCATATTTCGAGTTCACATTGATTTATCAAGGGAAACCGGTATAGGATGTGTGTGTGCACTCTGTTATAAATCGGAATATTTTCAGGCACTTCAGGGTTTCATCCAAATGCAAACTTTTCACGTAAATCCTGCAACTGCACTACATTTTAGGGACCCATGCCAGCTTGCAGAAATATTCAAATTAACAATTTTTAAAATAGGCAAAACAAACCACATTTATGTTGAATTAAAAAAACGCATGATTTTTGTCAAATATTGTGTGGGATCAGCAAAAAGTGGTCAAGGGGAGACTTTTGATTATCCATAGAAACCATTTGCATTGAGATATCATGAGTAGAAAGGTGATACAGATGCTGTGCGCTCTGTAACCCTTCTATCAGTCCAAAATTAGCTCGTTATCGTATCCTAAATGGATTAGTCCTGGTGTTAATGCAGGATGCCCAAAAAGGTCTGATAATCTCATTATGTGGAATGAAGGCATTGGGAGGGATACTCCTCAGACTGCTGTGGGATCCCACTGTGATCAAAGAACTCCCAGTGGTTGGCGAATAACTGAACCAGGCAGAGAAATTGTCATCAGCAGGAGTTAAAATTACAGAGGAATACACGTAAAACCACATACCTGTAACGTATAGTTGGCCTTTTCATTTATGTACAGTAACGAGGTATTAACTCAAGTTCTCTACTTATTGTTATGTACATGTTTACATGTTTCGGATGCAAGTTTTCAGCGCTTGTCCGTGCATCCATATGCTCGTTACTTTAAAACGTTTTGATGTGATTTAGGTGCCTTTTCTATACAGTAGTATTTGCCACGACGTTGTCTTTAGACTTTCTCGACGATGTTCGTCGCATGAATAAGCGGCAGCATTAGGGCAATATCTGTGAATTACTCTCACACCCTACACACTACTGAAACCACAATCAGGTCATCTACGATCTGCGGAGGCCTGCTCCCACCTGTAGAGTGGCTCCACGCTTCGGGCTGGGGCCTGCTTCCACCGGGCGTGTGCTGCTGTGCGGAGGAGGATTTGCCGCGGCTGGGGCCTGCTCTCCACCTGTCCTGGTTCTGCTGTTGCGGAGGCCTGCTCCCACCTGTCGTGTGTTCCAGTGTCGTGTGCTGCTTTGCTGAGGAGACCTTTTACCCCGGGGATACCACGGAGAGACCGGAGCGCTTCCTCGCTGCTGCTTTCGCCTGTCCTTTGCTGCTGTGAGGAGGAGGATTGTTGCCCCAGGAACATCGCGGATACTGTGTGCTGGTCTGGGAAAATGGCCCATATCGTGATTCTGCTGTGCCTGTTAACTGTTCTGGACTATGAGAAGATCTCTAGTCATCCTGAGAAGCCTACTGGATTCAGGTCTGTTCTGCCACCCGCAGTAGGCATCCCCTGCAAAGGGTCGGATGTGTTACACAAACAGTTACCGGTTACCTTGTCGCAGACAATCTGCTCGACAAAATATGTTTGTCTTTTTTGTTTGCCTGCGATGATGGTACTTCAGGACTGCTTCTTAAACTCTAATCAAACTCTCGCAGACTTTTCCGGTGATTCTAAAGTAGATGACAATGTGTGTGTGTCGATTAAGAGGAAAAGATGCCTGGTTTTTTTGTTGTTATTACTGTCAGGAAATGTTCAACCTAACCCTGGTCCGCCCAGTAGTAGTAGTCAGATCGCTACTCCTGCTGATTTTAAAGCTAGATCTGGGTTGGGTTTCATCCACTTGAATGTGCGCAGTCTGTTAGGTAAACTAGATTTTGTCCGCATTTGGGCAAGCTCGACTGACGCTGATGTCATTGTGTTATCAGAAACATGGCTAAATAAAACTATTTTGGCCTCTGACATATCCTTAAATGGCTATAATGTGTATCGTACCGACCGGCCTAATAAAGGTGGTGGAGTTGCCATTTATGTTAAAAATAAGTTCAGTGTAACCACATTGATCTCCAAATCTGTCAGTAAGCAATTCGAATTTTTAGCCTTAAATATAGAAGTGGCAAAGGGGCAACAAGTCATGGTGGTGGGGTGTTACAGACCCCCCTCAGCTGTCAAGGACTCCTTGTCTTCACTAGCAAAACTTATATCACAACTAGACTACAAGGAAATAGTGCTACTTGGAGATTTTAACTGGGACTGGTTAACTGCAGTATCAGAGGATTTTAAAAACCTTTGTATCTCTCTGAATGTTACTCAGATTGTTGACAGTCCTACTCGCCCTAACGTTAAGTCCCCTAATAAATCATCCCTAATTGATCTCATTCTAACTAATGTTCCCTATAAATACCCATCTGTGGGAGTATTTGCAAATGATGTGAGTGACCACTGTGTTGTAGCCACAATTAGGGACACTAAGGTCCAAAAGGCTAAACCCCGTATTATTATTAAGAGACACATAAAACATTTTGTGGAGCAGGGTTTTGTTCATGATCTGTTTGGGTTTGATTGGGGAAAAATCGATCTGTGTGCTGATGTTGAAACTGCATGGTCTTATTTTTATCTTGGTTTTATGGAAATTATAGATAGACATGCACCCCTACGTACTTTTAGAGTAAAGGGACGAGATAATCCTTGGTTTTCTGCTGAACTGTCCAGTCTCCTACATGAGAGAAACAAGGCCTGGGCAAAGGCTAGGAAATCAGGCTCAGAGGTTGAATGGCTGCGTTTTAGGCAACTAAGAAATAGCTTCACTTCACAGGTCAAAAGTGCTAAGTCGAAGTACTATTTGTCAGTTACTACAGAAAACCTAAATAATCCTAGGAAATTTTGGAAAGCCATAAAATCGCTATCCACCGGTGAGATCCGAAATGAGCTACCTCCGTGCATTACCACAGCATCTGGCTCTATATCGGACAGGGCTACTATGTTAAATTGTTTTAATGAGCATTTTGTGTCCTGCGGTTCTATGTTTGATTCTGTGACTAACTCTGCTTCTGTGTACACCACAGTCGGTGACTCTGAACAATGTGGTCTGGAAAACCCTTTCAGTTTTACTCCTTTTACTGTTGATGTTGTTCGTGACGCTTTAACCAAGTTAGATCCTAAGAAACCGGCCGGCCCGGACAACGTGGAACCTTTCTTTTTAAAGATAGCTGCAGATTTTATTGCTCCACCTCTCACTACTCTTTTTAACCTCTCCCTCAGCACAAATGCAATTCCAAAACTGTGGAAGTCAGCGTATGTCCTGCCTTTGCTGAAAGGAGGGGAGGCAACTGTTTTAAATAATTATAGGCCCATCTCTAAATTGTCAGTTCTGGCTAAGGTTCTTGAACGCCTAGTGAGTGAACAGGTAAAGGTGTTTTTATGTACAAATGACATCCTGTCTAAACATCAGTCAGGCTTCAGAAAACAACATAGCACCATCACTGCCACAATGAAAGTGGTGAATGATGTGGCGAGTTTTTTAGATAATAAGCAGAGTTGTGCAGCTCTATTTATTGACCTTTCCAAAGCGTTTGATACCGTCGATCATCGCATCTTAAAGCAGAGGCTACTCAGTATTGGCTTATCCAGCCATGCAGTGGGGTGGTTTGTGAACTACCTCTCTGAAAGGTCCCAATGTGTTCATTTTGATGGGCTGTCTTCTGAGTGGTTAAACATTACTAATGGTGTTCCTCAAGGTTCTGTTTTAGGTCCACTTTTATTCTCCATCTACATCAATAGTTTAGGTGAAAATGTCGATGGAGCAACCTTACATTTTTATGCGGACGATACCGTTATGTACTGTGCATGTCCCTCCATTAAGGAGGCTGTTGTTGAATTGCAAACTGCTTTTAACATTATTCAGACTCAGCTCTCTGAACTAAAGCTTCTTTTAAATGTGGATAAAACCAAGGTAATGCTCTTTTCAAAAGCCAAAAAGACACCAGAGCCTGTTTTAGATATTTTAACTACGCAAGGAATAAAACTTGAAGTGGTTGCCTGTTACAAATACCTTGGTATCTGGCTTGATGATTGTCTCACTTTTAAACGTCATGTCAATATCCTGCTTAAAAAACTGAGGGTTAGACTAGGTTTCTTCTACAGGAACAAGTCCTGTTTCTCGCTCGAGACCAGAAAAAGGCTAGTCACTGTGACCTTTTTACCTGTGCTGGACTATGGTGATTTGATCTATATGAATCCACCTGCCAATTGCCTGGTCAAGTTAGATGCTGCGTATCACAGTGCTCTGAGATTTGTTACTAACTGTAAAGTACTTACTCATCACTGTTCCCTGTATGCCAAGGCAGGTCTGCCTTCACTTACTGGTCGGAGGCTCAGTCATTGGTACATATTCATATATAAAGCCATGCTGGGTAAACTACCGACTTATATATGCTCTTTGATCTCACGGAGAGTGGCAAGTAGCTATTGCCTGAGATCCCAGGATGTGTTTTTATTACATGTGCCAAGTGCTAGGACTGTTTTAGGTACTAAAGCTTTTATGTGTGCTGCTCCTCTGGCTTGGAACACCATGCAAAAAATATTGAAACTGAGCATTTTGATTCCCTTGCATCGTTTTAAAGCACGGCTGGATGAAATATTATTGGATACCTGTAAATGTAAATAGGTTGCTAATGTATACCCCTGTAATTATGTTGTGATGTCCTTTTGTTTTCTGTTTGTTTTTATATGTGTAACTAAATGTACCGCAGGTCTCCCTTGTAAAAGAGATCGTTGATCTCAATGGGATTTTTTAACCTGGTTAAATAAAGGCTACAAACAAACAAACAAACATGAGCTGGCTGATGAATTTTGCTGTATGTTGGAAATGAACCTTTTCTGGAAAAAATATAATGATATATATGACAACATTTCAGGGATTTTTTTGCTTCATGTAATGTTGAAAACTAGAAAATAGATATATGGTTTTTGTCCTACCATCAGCCGTTGGATGAATTATAAGAAACTTCTTATCCATGAACTGAGATGCTTTGTGTGCTAAATTTGCCATCGGAGGAGTAATGAGACACACAGCAACAAATAAGATTAAATGAAATACAACAATAATTATGAAACATCAGAATTAAAATGAAATCTTACTGTGTATGCCCTCGGATCAGGTTTAGGCAGCCCAAGATATCTCTCGGAAAATGCAGATGCTACAGGGTTAAGAGGGTTTCAATTACCAAAGAGTATCAAAACTTCATATAAATAACACATTTCGACAAGTAATTTCTGTCTTTTCTTTGGCCATTTTAAAAGGTAAGAAGTACACTTTTCCATTTTTTTTATTCAAATATATCACCCTTCTAGATATTATTTATTCCCCATTCACCCCTCTGGCAAACACAGAGAAATCCAATGTATAGGAAATCAGTCACACTGTGCTACCCACTTCTTCCTTAATTTGCAGTGTCCTGACTTGGTACAGCTAACAGACCGCCTCTCATTTTCCGTCACTTTCAACACACACTATTATACTTTTCACATATTTCATTCCTTTGTTAGCTTAGGTGAGGTTGCTGTTGTTAACTTGGCACATTATGATTGAGCTCCTTTTTCACATACACGTACAAAGCCACAGAAAAAACTCCCAGCTGCATATTTCAAAGTGCTAGATTATATATATGTTCTTATACTTTCTGACAGCACTGCCTAGATGAATATGCAGAGATAGCTTTTTGAAAGTAAAACAAAGATCTGCAACAAAAACAGCTTACCGTATAATTCAAAGTCTGTAATGGGTAAGAGGACAGCAGCACACTTTACAGGGTATTCATCGCCCCAGACCAAACGGCTGGTCACAAAGCCTCCATATACCTGAGGTACAATAAACATGCATGTTATTGCCTGCGGAGGAATGTACTGAGTGCACTCAATTCAATATTTGAAATGCTTGTACTTAAATGTAATGCAACTTTTTATTCCACTTGTCTTACAGCTTTAGTTACTTTTCAGTGTAAGAAAACGTTTTTAGAGAGTACTTGTCCATGGACAAGTGAGTTTGACAATTTACTTGTCCGAATACATTTTTCACTTGTCCAGAATGGACAAAAATTGGGGCCACTGGAATCTTCTTCTTCGCCATCGTATTTTACATTTTCGGTAAGATTTTACTGCATCACACATGGGTTGGGTATCTTTTGGATTTTAACGATTCCGGTTCTGCTTTTCGATTCCGGTTATTTTCGGTTCTCGATTCCGGTTCTTTGAGAGGGTAAAAATAAGTCCCATGACAAACTGGGAGAAAAATGTATTTATGAAAATATTAAGTCAAATCTGTATTCCTATTTACAAATCACTTCATACTGTTGAATTTCGTTACGGTTATTGAATAAAATTATATAAAAATAATCTCTGCATTGTTTAGTTAGTTCTAAGTGGTGCAGTTTGAGAATGTACAATTGGCCCAGTCTCCTGATGTTACACTGCAACCTGCCTGTAAGACAGAGTCCAACCACACATAATAATAACAATACATTATATTTATAGCCTATAGGCCTAGCGCTTTTCTACGAGAGAGAGAGAGAGAGAGAGAGAGAGAGAGAGAGAGAGAGAGAGAGAGAGAGAGAGAGAGAGAGAGAGAGAGAGAGAGAGAGAGAGACAGAGACAGAGACAGAGACAGAGACAGAGACAGAGACAGAGACAGAGACAGAGACAGAGACAGAGACTGTTAAAGACTGTTAAAGACTGTTAAAGACTGTTAACCCTGTGTTCTAGTATGATATTTATAAGAGAACATTGTACCTTGAAAATCAATGCATTCTAATAGCGGGTACATTTTACCCGTTGGCGGTTTTAGGTATACAGCGACCCGTGGTGGTTCTAGTGTTAAAACCCCTTGAAAATATTTTTGGTGTCAGAACTTCTGAAAGGTTTACTTTTTAGAGATATATACGTGTGGCAGTTGGGTGTGATTATGGTGTGATTATAGCGCAGGCTGCTGGACAGATGGGAGTGGCTCAGCTGGAGACCAGCCAGGTGATCTGACTCAGGTAATGGGTCACTAAAAAAAAAGCATGCTGGTAACCTGCTTCTGGGTTGCAAATGGTCAGTTTAGCTTAGGAAGGTTCCTAACGGAGTTAAATGACCCGGAAGTACCTAAGTGGCAGCAATGATAAGAGCTGTTCAAATTCTCTAGATCAGTGGTTCCCAAACTTTTTGTGCCCAAGGCACACCAAAGGACAAGTAAAAATCTCAAGGCACACCTATTGTGCAAAATAGCCCTTATAACACGTGTTATCACTCATATCATGTAAAATATCTGTAAATGTGCATAATTATTGACTAATGCCAAATAAAATGTGACAAAGACAACTATATTACTCATGAAATATTTATTAACTAAATATTTCAGAAATGAATTTGAAACTTTATCAAATTAGGCTTCATCAAAGCAGCAACACACTCATTTGAACCAGACAGATCACAAAATTAAAAATGAGGCAAACACTCAGCAGAAATTCAGCACAGAGAACTAGGAAGCTGCACTGTCCATGGTCCTGAACTACAAATGATAAATGTAACATTTCAGCAATCAGCATTGAAACATGTGCTATTGTAAATATTTTGCCGACTTACAAATTAGTGAGATACATGTGCCTGTCGGGGCGTGCAGATTTTTTTAATCCTTGGTGGCACTGAGGAGAGGGCCACTCGCAAGTCCTGTTCAACAGAGAGCCGTGACCTCCTGTTGTTCTTCATGTAAACCAGAGTAGAGAACGCCAACTCACACAGGTAGGTAGTGGGAAAAAGAAGAAGTTGCTCAATCGCGTGGTGGGAGATGCTTGGGTACTCCGATGGAGAAGCCAACCAAAACTGATCCAGTGGGAGCTCACTGAATTTGAGTTTCAGTGTGCAGTCCACACGGAGCTCTGCGCACTCCTCTCTCTTTCATAGTGAGCTTTTCTGTTGGGAATTCCGGGTGGAATGGGTCTCGGATCCAGTCATAGTCCTCGATGTCAGCCACACGTGGAAAATAGCGGTCAAACCTCTCTTTTAAGGTCTGACGGTGTTTGGATATACAGCGCGCTCCCTAGCTGCCTGCGGCGCAGCTGATGCCAGCGGGAACATGTCCATGGAGCCCTGTTCCAAAGCCTCGCGCCACAGGATAAGTTTGCCCATAAACCCCCGAATCTTGTCTGTGGATGATAAATGTTTTCATTCCTGCCCTGAAGCTTGGCGTTTAACTCGTTGAGATGCCCAAATATGTCTGCGAGGTAAACCAGCCTGGCGCACCACCTCTCATCCGCGAGCTTGTCTTTATGTGGGACAGCGTGTTCACGTGAAAACTCCAAAAGCTCTTCCCGAAGCTCATAAAGACGGGATAGGACTTTCCCCCGTGACAGCCAACGTACCTCTGTGTGGAGGATCAGGCTTTGGTGGTCGGCTCCCATCTCGGCGCACAGCTGGGAGAAGAGGTGAGATTTCAGGGGCCTTGATTTGATGTAATTCACCATCTGCACCAGGGGCGTCGCCTGGGCCTGAAAACATTCGGGGCTTAGCCCACAGTGGCGGCGGCACTAGTGGCATTTTTTACTGCAACACTCCCCACACGCACACACACAGTACACCCGCGACTGTTACAATAAAGGCTCGATAATCAGCTCACGGCATATAGGCAGGGGTAAAGTGGTATTTTTTTATGAGTGGGGGGCAGACCTCACCTCCTCTAGGGGGGTCCGGGGGGATGCTCCCCCGGGAAGATTTTTTTTTAAATATTGAAGTTAAAAGCATCAATCTGGTGCACTTTGAGAGCAAAATGAAGAGATCTATGGATACCTCTCTCAGCACCCATATGAAACAGAACTGTAAACAGATGTACTTTTTCTTTATGGATATTTTACTAATCACTCCCCTTTTAAACTCTGTTCTTGTTTTACTGCCATATAGTATTTCATAACTGTTTTTCCTTTATTCTCTTATTTTTTTTATAACTATAATGATCATATGAAGGTGTGCCGCGGAAATAATCTTTTGAATATTTTGTGACCAAACAGTTTGAGACCCACTGAGATAACTTAGACTAAAGTTATGTATCTAAACACTCAGAGAGTCCTTTAGCTCACCTGAGTCTCTCAGTCTGAGAGGAGAGGACTCTCCTCCAGCTTGTTGTGGAACAAACAGCTCCTTATGTCCGTTAGTGCAGCTAGCTAACCAGATGCTAACAACAGGTCCCTGCTGGCAGCGGTCCCTCCCTCCCCCTCTCTCCCTCTCTCTCTCTCTATCACACTAAAAATGCGCTATTGCCACACACACACACAGAGCCGAGCTTGAATGACACAAGCACACGTTTATTTCCATGCAAGTCTCTGATTGGTCTGGTGTCATTGCATTCACTGAACACGGGAAATTACAGTGTTGCCGTCCTCTCTTGTGTCATGATGAGGTTCACGTAAAGCACGGTTAATGTATTATATTATTGAGGGAGAATTGTCCGGGGCTACAGAAAAAACATTCGGGGCTAAAGCCCCGGATGCCCAGGCCAGGCGACGCCACTGATCTGCACAGCCTGATTCAGCACCTCAGTCAACTCCGGGGGCATGGTTTTGGCAACTAATGCCTCTCTATGCAAAATGCAGTGGTTTGTCACGATATGTGGGTTTTGTGCTCTCACCTTAGCAATAAATCCTTTCACTCTCCCCGTCATGCTTGCCGCACCATCTGTGCAAAGACTGACGCACATATTCCAGGTCAGACTGTTCTCTTTTAAATAGTTATTAGTTACCCTGAATATTTCTTCTCCCGTTGTATGGCTTTCCATTTCTTTGCAGAAGAAAAACATCTCTTTGATAGAGTCATCATCAACATATCTGACGTTTGCCAGAAGTTGGGCAGCCCCACTTATGTCAGTAGATTCGTCTATTTGTAGGGAAAATCTGCCGCTCGCCTGCAGTTTCTCTGTCAAATGTTGCTCAATGTCTTCTGACATGTCGTCGATTCTTCTTTTGATTGTATTATCAGACGACGGCACTTTGGATAGCTCATTTGCGGCATCTGGACCCAGCATGACACCTACAATTTTTTTGCAAGCGGGGAGGATGAGTGTCTCCGCTATTGTGTGAGGTTTCTTCTGCTTTGCAATGAGCTCCGCTAGCATGCAATTAGCCTCCATTGCCTTTTCAGACACTTTCACACAATCCAACAAACGGTCTTGCTGCCTCTGGTTCAGATCCCGCGCTCTTTTGAAGTAGGCCAAGTTTCTCTGAACATGGAAGGGATGTTTGGTTTCCAAGTGCCTCTTCAGCTTGCTTGGAACATGTTCGCATTAGCTAACTTCTCCCGACAGACGACGCACTCGGGCTGAGGATTGTTGACATCCCCGGTCCAACTGAAACCATAAGACAGGTAACTTTCATGATACTGTCTGCTGACAGTTTTTTTCCTCTTTTCTTTCGGTGGTGGGTTGTCGACAGTCTCTGCACTGGTGGTTGGTGGTTTGCTCCGCACAAGAAAGCGCTCCATTTTCCCTCTTGCGTGTTTCTCTGTTTTAATGTTGTCCTTCAGCCTTCGATGTGTCACGGTCTTATAATTCCCACCTGTGCAACTGCGTTAACAGCGAAATATGGGGTTCTGTGAGGATTTTTTTTAAAAGAATTATTTTTAGGTATAGAGTTTGCCTCTGTATTAAGAAAAGAATGCATACAAAGTACTGATATAGTAAATTAAAAAATAATTATTTTTGTGTAGTTGTATATTGCAATAATAACGTATGGTTGTCACAAAATCCCACGGCACACCCGGACTTGCCTCACGGCACACCAGTGTGCCGCGGCACCGCTCTAGATGATAGGAAAGGAGCTTTGAAACTTCCTTTTAATGTCCTTTAGTTTAGGAAACACTGGACTGACCTTTACGAAAGGAAAGGAGAAAATGCTGTCCCACAATACCTTGCGGCCCAACATTTACCGTGACACAACAATCGTCCGTTCACAGAGACAACTGATCGTGACCGAGAATTGCTTATCATGAAAGTTAAGTTTCTTATTAAGCGTTTTAAAAGTTATACCTTAACTTGCCAAAGTACTTTGTTTGAACATTCAACATTATAATAAACAAAAGGCAAAATATGAAAGTTACTTTGTTACCAGTGGCGGCCGGTGGTCTTTTTTTTTGGTGGGGCTCTTGACGTACCGTAAGTGACCTACCCGGGGGGTCCGGGGGATTTCCCCCCGGAATTTTTTTTCGAGAAATGACCCCTTAAATGATGACTTCTGGTGATGTTAGAGGGGGGGGGGAAAGGAGAAATCGAGGCTTAAAAATATGAGAAGACTGATCAATACCTCCATAATCTTCAGTGTGGAAAATATTATTTATCAACCTGAACATCTACTACTTTACCAGGAATTTGTGTTCTCAGAACTGGTCTGTTTTTTTCTTTCTTAAAACTGTTCATGTTTTATGAACCAACACCTCCACCAAGTAGCTTTACAGTGAACTGCATGTGAGATATAAAATTAATAGCATCTTTTCAGTAGCATTAATTATAAATATTTAAGTGGTTCAATACAAGTCACTACAGCATTTCAAACTGAACTGTGAATAAATGCAATTTAAAAAAAATAACCACAGCACAAAATGTCATAAATTGTGTTTTTTCTTTGTTTCTCTGAGGATTATTTACAAACAGGCTTATTTACATATAGCAATAACTCAGAAATGAAAAAGCGACATCGTCTAACACGAACAACCACTTAGCATAATGATAATATATGTGTTATGTACAATGTAACTGGCAAGGCTAGAGCAAGAAAGAACATAAAGTTTGCAAAAGGTTTAAATAACTTCAAGTATCTGTCTTCAGATTACGTGGAGGTTTTAGTCCGATGGGAAGCAGATTTTAAGCGACACCGAAGATAAACCAAAAATGTGGTGGAGCTGCAAACCGTGTAGTGTTGCTGGGACAGGACAGGAGCTATAACCGTTGGAAAATACATCACAGACAATGCAACAAACGTGGAGACAGAACAATCACTTCTGTGATAAATGCCCACTTATTAATAAACTTCTAACAACCATGGGAAACCTCCTCTCTACATATAAAGTGATATCCAAGCATGGGAAACAAAAGACAGCATTTACCTGTTTGCATCCAGCTAGCCAAGCCTTTTTTGTGTACCAGCTACTTGCGAAGCCTCGTGTATACGTTTTGTCTTTTTCACGAGATTGCTGCGATATATTCAAATCGGGTTGGTCCGGTCCAAGGTCTTTAAGCAACAATTTATCTGCCAAACTTCTCCTTTCGAAAGGATTGGAGATTAGCTCTTGAACAGAATTAGGCGGGGACCGAGGTCCGGAGACTCCACCTGCACACGAAGCCATCCTCATCAACTACTGCGTCAACCGGATACGAGTCACTGTCCAAACTACTCACAGACTGCACTGGGCGCTGACATTGGCGCCCGGTGACCGTCATCTTTGACGACGCTGATTGGCTGAAATTATATTTTCGCGGCATAGTTTACACGTTACAGATAGCAACAGTCAGCTGCTAGTGGCTGCTGCTGCACTGGTTGAAGGCTCCTCTCTTAGCGCCCAGACGAGAGAAGGTGCATGGGCAAGGCCAGGCAGGAAACATGTGACTTATCAGTAACTTTAGACATCGTAACACAATTTTAAACGAGATTTTATTGTAGATTATACATTTTACTGATACCAATTATATAATATTTACCTTGTTCATTAAAAATAAAAATAAAAAAAATAAAAATATATATATTTTTTTAAACATATATTTTTTTTAATTTTAATTTTAATTTTTTTTTTTTTTTTTTTTTTTCAATATGGGAAGAGGTGGGGCGGCGCCCCTAGCGCCCCTATGGACCGGCCGCCACTGTTTGTTACTGTTAAAAGGGTACCACTTTACAATAAGACTACCCTTATAAAGGATTCATAAAGGGTTTATAATTAGGTTATGAATTAGGTTGTAAACACTTTATTAATCATTAACAACCATTTATAAACCAGTTCTATACATCAACACAGGCTCACTATTTGGCAAGATGACTAAGCCTTATATTGGCTACTTAGCGAGAATCAACTCAGTGAACAACAGATACCAAGGATGCTGGCTGATGAAGAAGATGAAGTAAGCTAGGTAGCCAATATAAGGCTTAGCAGAACGCTCACTATTTGGCAAGCAACCGGTCACAGTTACCCTGTTAATCTCATTTCTTATAAAAGCTTATTAATGACTTATAAAGTGTTCATAACCTAATTAATAAATGAATTACAAACTTCGTAAACCCTTTATAAGGGTAGTCTTATTAAAGTGGTACCGTTAAAAGATTTAAAAAAAAAGGTAAACATTTCACAGTGTGACTGAGCGGTATGGGGTTTCTTAAGCTTTTTAAATCATGTTTGAATTGTGATATACACAGTGATAGATGTTAAGGCCTAAGAAGTTTATAATAAAAACTATTGAATTTATTTTAAAATATTTTCATACACCGCAGACGCACATTAATAACATCTGCTGGCGGATCATAAATATATCAGAAAGTGTAAGTAGGGAGGCTGTGGCTCAGTGCGTTAGTGCGCTGATCTTCGGCTCAGGGGAGCAATCGTTCCATCCCCACTGGACGTAAAACGTCCAGATGAGACAAAATACTGCTTTTTGATTCTGAGAAGCAGGTTACCAGCATGCTTTTATTTAGTGAGTCATTACTTGATTCTGATCACCTGTCTGGTCTCCGGATGAGCCACTACCATCTCTGCGGCAGCCGGCGCTCTAACCACAACTCACTGCCACAATGTGGTTCTCACAAGACATATGATGGTTACTATTTTTTTTTCTTTTACTGATAATACTGCGATACTTTTACTTATGCATGTGGAATAATTTTGTTTTGGAAATGCTGCAACATATTTTGTTCCTGAAGTAAAACCCCAAGAACAAATAGTACAACCTGGATATTAACGAAGACATGCATGATTATATTTTCACACAAAGACTATTCTTACCTTTCCAAAAGCTCCAACTCTGGTTTTGTCAACATAGGACTCTTTCAAAATAAAACTGCAAAAAAAAAAAACATTGGTTCTAGTTAGGAAGAACAATTCTGATTTGATTTTTGTATAGGCTACACTGTCTCAGCATAGATACTGTGTTGCACATACTAGCTGTCTTTACAAGGCACTTAGAATTATATAAATTACCTAAACTACTACTATAGATGACCCACTGCAACATGTCATTCCTAAAATAAAAGATCGATATTCTCAAAATAACAAGTAATGTGAGGGAATATTTGCAATGCAATTTAATTAATTGAAGATTACTTTTTGAAATTGCTTAACATATCAAGAGATTAATTCCACTGTGACTTGGAATTGTCAGTGGGTTTCTATAATAAATGTTATGTTTAATTCATGCCATGAGTCATGAGGAATTCTGGCCCCAAATTTTTTTTTTACTCATGTTTACTTAATGTCATTTTAGAAGAAGACAAGGTTAAAAGATATCATACTTGAGTGCTGCCTTCTGATCCTGTTCCTCATACAACCCCAGTTTATTCTGGATCCGGTGCAGCAGGTTGGTGCCCTTGAAGCCACTACCTCGTCCGTCACAGCGCACCACAATCGCTCCGAAGCTGCTCACCAGCACTGTGGCCCAGTCTAAGTGGAACTGCTCCGCCACCGTCTGACCACCAGGTGTCCCATCGCTACACACAAACAACCAAAAACAACCAGATCAGTGTATTTAGCTTAAGGCAAAGCATTGTTTCTTTTTTTTCTCTTAATATCAAAAGATTACGCTGGGTATAAATAATAATTTGGTTTCTCTTTGGAAATTGTGGGTAAAAAGCAGTTTCCTTTTATTGTCCAAATACATTATTGCTCTTATGTTCGTAATTTTGGTTGTACTATTTACTATGGGTACTGTATCTGTGAACTGACAATGGGCAACATGTACAGATTAGCATTAGGATAAAATAAAGCTAAAATGCAGCAGATATAACTTGTTCCAAGACAGTCACTTTAATACAGTTAAATAATTGTAATTATTAGATAGGCATATGCGCTTGAGATGCAAACAAGCGGATTCCAAAAGGTGATTTCTAAAAAGTTTAGAATTGAGCTAAAGATATATAAATGTACAAAAGAAATGCTAGTAAAATAAAGGGGTGGACAGGAGGATTAGGATAAGTGTCTTTATCGCCAGTGTTATTATTATCCAAGAAGAGTGGAGAACAATATGCTTGATTAAAACTCAGTCCAGGAAGCCATGTTGGGTCAGCATTGCTAATGGACACACACTTTTTCCATGTCAAAATGATTAGACCAGTATGTGAAAAAATATGTTTATACATACACCAACAGGAGCACAGGATAGTGTGATGTGTCCACGAAGCCGGCAGGTTTGAGGATCTGCATTGACAAAGCTGTAGTGTAGATACAAACAACTGTTATGCAAAACATAACATTGCAAACAAACATTAAATATACTCCTTTAATTGAGAAACTCTACCGTATATTTTGAACCTTATTTATGTGTTACCAGTTCATGATAAACGTTCATTGATACTGTATTGATACTATACCATCTAGATCTAGAATAGGATTTTGGAGGATGGGATGTAACAAAAACAGACACCGGTCAGCAGGGCATGTTAACAATGGTATGTGATATTGGATATGAAGAAGTAAATCATCTCATGCCAAATTGCAATAAGAGCCAAATTGATGTGGCTCTAATCGATATTACAATTTAAACGTTGCAGTTAACTACACTGTCCTGAACAGCAGTGATTCCCAGACTGGAAGTTGTTACCCTAGGTTTTTTCTACAGTCTGTTTCTGACAACTATCAGATAACTTGTGTACATGGACTTGTCCACTAATGTGACTGTGGCTTTGAAACATGACACATACTGTAGTCATCAATGTTGATCTCCTTGTATTCCACAGTGGGCATCTGCATGGAGTCCAGGGTCAGCCTCAGGTTGTCATTGCTCTCCAGGTTATGTACTTCTGCAATACCTGTAGAAATCACAAAATTAACTAATAATGTTGCAGTAAACAAAGTTAACTGTATTAATGTTTGGACAGTAATATGGTTGGCGCTTGCTTTTTAAACATACTGTGTGCAGTTATGATATCTGTCAACCAAGTCAAGCAAACTACAGTGTGCATAGTTTGAAAATATGTATGTAAAATTCATAGAAGAAAGCATCCCCACACCATATCAAAGCCTCTTATCATCTTTAACTTTCATCATGAACTCTATCTAAATAGAAAGCAAACAAACATGTTAACTGAAACTGTGTCCAGGATTCATTGTCAACATGTTAAGCACTACCTGCAAAACATAAGCATTGCATGGATGCAAGCATTTTTTTATCTTAAAGTCAATATACATTTACATTTGTCTGTGTCTGCCTTAAAAAAAAAGCAGGTGTAGGTGAACATTTGGGAACAATAATTGGAAATTGAAATGGAACTTGAAATGGCAACTTTCTGGTTCCCAAGCAAAGTCCACAGTTCAACAGCTAAATACAAATATTCTACCAAATAACATCAAGAATGTTTTAACATAGTTAGGGCGGGGACATCATATACATGTAGGTGAAGATGACAGACTGTCACACAAGCATACTGTAGTAATGAAATTACTGTTTGCTGATATTGATGTTGGGCAGGTTATCATTTAATGAGAATCCATTCTGAGAAGTAATTTGATTACTGGCAACATGCTGGACTTGGCTTGTAAACAAAAAGTCACTCAGGGCGCAGGTGGTCATTCTCCATTGTAAAAGAACCACGTCTGTCCCTTTTGAAAAGGTAATTTCCATTTTCAGTGATTATTCTACTGCCCACAAGTGGCTACTGTAAGTGGCTACTGCCTGAGATCGCATGCTGTGGTTTTATTAAATGTGCCAACTGCTAGGACTGTCTTAGGGAAGATAGCATTTAGATGCACAGCTCCTCTGTCTTGGAACAATCTGCAAATTAAATGGAAACTGAGCAATCTGGTGCCACTAAATGTTTTTAAAGCTCGGTTGGATGCTACACAATCGGATGCTGTTGGTACCTGTTCATGTGGATAGTTATTGTAAATTGTAATCCCTGTAATGATGGTGTATGATGTCCTTTTTGTTGTTCTGTTGTTTTATGTTTTTATGTTTCATGTGAAACCTACTTGATGCTAACATTAATGTACTTCACATACAGTACACAGTTCACATATATGAGCATCTATCAATAAAATGTCATATAATACAACTTAACAACAATCTGCTGTCATTTTTAAAATTCATCACATTTCTGAATTCATCACAGTTCACAAACTGAACATGATAGGCTTAATGTCTACAGGGTGGTTGTATTAGATTGCATTCAAGTATACAGATGAACTCAATGTTATTAACCATGGTAGTTAAAAGGTGATACAATTAATCATTTTAATAATTATCAAACGTGTTATTCTTGTTCATTCTTAGTCAAGCAGTATCAACCAGATTACACTAAAGGCCATGATGCTTATGATAGAACCTACAGAAAGAATGTGTTCTATTCTTTGATATCAATAATATTCACTAATAGGTAGGTACAGTATGTCAGGGTTCTACACAGACTTTATGATATAAATATATGTAATACAATCAGGTGAATATTATTGTTACACACATACTGTAATATGCTCAGTGTGACTTTTGTTTGCTTAAGGTATGATCACACTGATTACGTTCCTAGGAAGATAATAACATATATAACAAAAATATGTATCTATAATAGAAAATTGCATTTCAGTGAAACTAATTTATTTGCTTTCTTGCAAATAGTTTGATCAAAAAACAATACCACTGTTTGTATTTTAAAAATGAGGGCCATAGTCAGCAGATGGCTAGCTTAGTTTAGCATAAAGTTTGATTCAAATCATTCATGTTGGCAAATTATTAACGGCTTCTGACATACAGTATAATACAATTGTAGAATATTTCAAAATTCATTCGACTGCATTAAGGATAATGACCCTTCTTAACATATTGTATTGTTCTTCTCAGTGTTAATCTCTTTTATGGGTTTACACTTTAGATTGTTGCCAAAACATTGTAGGCACGTTGGAATGCTCACTGTTTTATCATGTGGGATAGTGGTGGGTAACGGCCAAAAAGCTTGCGTGTTCAACTCAAAGGTCTCAGAGGTGTTCACTGACATGATATTTTTGCCATGGAAACCTACCTAGTGTTGTGGTCAATTCCAAGAACAATGTCCAAACATCTGTGGCTGGCAGCTAAATTGAATCTGCCTGCCAAATGGCCTCTAATAAACTGACTTTCAACAAAAGAGTCCTGAATGAGTCATACTTGCACTAGGAGAGTGTTTCCATCAACAATCATTGAGTTATCCACCTCTCCTTAAGGAGGTTCTGATGAGACGAGGGAACAGGAGGGGACGTTTGTGAGCTTCCACAAAGGAGAGTGGGTCTGAAAGAGAGAGTGACAAAAGAGACTTTAACAATAGCATGCAGCAGCTAAAGTTAGACTGCTGTGGTAACAAGTCAAGACAAAAGATACTGGAGATTAAGCAGTGATGGCATACTGTGGGCTGAGAGCAAGCAAGATCTTCAAATGTAGACTGCGTATAGACTCCCAGTGGAGAAAGATGAGTGCTTCATCTGTAGGAAAAAAGAGCATTGGGCAAACAATTGTCTAATAAGGGAAGTGAAACACACACACACACAGCTCATGCAATGAAGAAGTGGGACTTATGCTAAATTCCCGTAGAACTATTTAAGATCTGGCCAGAGACATTGTTTATTCTGGGAAACAATGTGATCACATTTCTTGTAGATTGAGGAGAAACTCACTCAGTGGGGACAACTAAAGACTAACCTGATCCAGAGCAAAGAGAAAGTGATGTGTTCTCTCTCGGGATATCAAGAAAGACAATCAGAGACAAATTCATGGTACCAATTGTTTGTGTTCATGAAGAAGAATCTGCCCCTCATATAAAGATCAAGCATGTATTTTGGCCTCAAACGTGTATCCAGTTAGTTTGACAGGACGAGATCTCATGATCGCATTGGGCGTACGTCTAATCTCTACACCAGAAGGGTTCAAAGTTGTTAGGACTCCTAATGTCGACATGTCAATGGTAACATACAGTCCCAACATTTCTCTGTATGTATATCAGTAGAGGTTCCCTTCTTCAAAAGATATGATTAAAAGAGCTAAAATATTGTATCCAACTGTGCAGATTTTATGACTTCAGGGCAGGCTACTCACACTGTATGTCCTATGTGTCACAAGGGCCTGACATACTTTGGAACAGTTTTCTTTCATGACCTGAAATAATCTATAAAGTATTCTACTTTGTTTTGGTCTGATAGCAGGTGTGCTATTTCTGGGAATCTGAGTGATGCTCAGCAACGTTCTTTCTGGTGAACAATTCACACCCACACATCTCACTGACAAAGTCTCAAAATGACCAGTGGTGGGACCTGGGTTCGTTTCTAAGGAAAAGCAACTCCATACACACACACACACACACATTCTTATCTGACTGCTTCTCTCCCCACAGCCATGAAGGAAGTCCACTCCTCACTATGGGCCCAGGGGAAGTATGACTTAGTACTTATAACACCCACATTTGCTCACAGGCCAAGCAAACAACAATATATTTTCAAGCAGGAGGATATTGAAGGAATAACACTTGTTTGATTCTCTTTGACAGGCAGGAGTAATTGTTCCCTGAAATGATTCACCAGTAAGAACTCCCTTTATCTCAGTGAAGACAAAGAGCAGGATTTGAGAGCAGTAAATGCAGCAGTCCAACCAAGAGCCCCTAATGTGCCAAACGCTTACACTATTTTGTCACAAGTGCCCTCTGATGCTAAATAGTTTTCCATTGGGGATCTCTCCAACACATTATTCAGTTTCCCAGCACATCCAGATGTTGGTTTGCTTTTAACTACTGCGATGTCACCATTTGGACGGACTCAAGTACTCTTTTGGAGTCGTACATGAACGAGCGATAACGGCTCTCATTTTGTTAATCGGGCCATCAAAGGATCAAGTGCTTACGTAGACATTACAGCTATAGAGAGGGAAGATGGTGAGAAAATAACACACACAATGCCTTGTGACCATTGTCGTCAGCCCTAACTGGACTTCTGTTTTCACCTAAATTACTGATTTTGATTCCTCTTTCTTAAAATTAAAGTCCAAGACAGTTGGTCTACCTTTAAGACAGTCAGCCCCATGTGAATGTAGTGTATGAAGAGTTTTAGTCTTTAAAAGGCGAATTTGAAATTGCAGTTAATGCAAACACCTATTTCTACTTTCCCCACTGTAGCTGATAGTCATTCTGATACAACTACCCTTCTTCTTTAGCACGATATTTGCATTACAAGTAGAACGTTTCAGAAAAGTAGTA